GAGAAAAAAAGGAGTTATAGGGAATTCTTGCTTATTAAGTAATAACTTCACTGAATGACAGTGATAACAGTTAGTGACTAGCAATTTTCTCATCAGCTGCTTTTTTTGTTTGTTTTGTTTTCCTCACTGGTTTTGGGGTCGGTGAGCTATGGTACTAAGAGCATTAATTTAGAGTCATCGATTCATTAAAATTGGAAAAGACATCTAAGATAATCTTATCCAGCCATCTGCCTACCCCCAGTATTGCCCACTAAACCATGTCCCTTAGTAATACATCTACCCTTTCCTTAAACGTTTCCAGGGATGGTGACTCCACCACCTGCCTGAGAAGAAAGAAAATTTGCCTCGTACCCAACCTGAACCTCCCCTAGTGCAACTTCAGGCCATTCCCATCTCATCCTATCACTATAACTTGGGAGGAGAGGCCAACCTCCACCTCACCACAACTTCCTTTCAGGCAGCTGTAGAGAACAATAAGTTGTAGAGAGCCTCCTGTTCTCCAGACTGAACAGTGAGCATAATCCCCTTGATGTCCTGCATGTGCTGTTTGCTAGCACTCAAGATGATCTGTTCCATAGCCTTCCCTGGCACTGAGGTCAGGCTGACAGGCCTGTAGTTCCACGGATCCTTCTTATGACCCTTCTTTCAATAGTTGACAAGCCTCTCTGAGGACCCCTTCAGCTGACCAGGACCTCTGATAAATGGTGGAAAGCAGCTTGGCTGTCACCTCCACCAGCACCCTCAGGTAGATTAAAGACATGCTAATAATGAATTGAGAACCTCAGCCTTTTCCTAATCCTCAGTGGTCGCATTCCCTACTGCATGTGGTAAAGGATGGAGATTCTCTTTAGCTCTCCTCTATTAATATATTTGTAAAAACACTGTTTGTTGTCTTAACCATAGTGGCCAGGTTGAGTTCAAGCTGGGCTTTTGCCTTTCTAAATTTCTCTCTGCATATCCTAGCAACTTCCTTGTACTTTTCTTGAGTTGACCCCACAGCCTCTCTTCCCTTCTGTTAGTGTAGGCCTATGTGGACCAAAAATAACCTGGACACTTTAAAAACCTAATAAACAGATGTTAAATTCAGCCTAAGAAAGCAGGTTTTGAAGAGAGAACTTCAGTGAGTTCTCTTTATGGCCTTTCCTTCTCTGGTTTTCTGTGAGAATGTAACTGTTATATCATGCCCTAATTATGTGCCCTTTTGGGGAGGAAGTGTGGATTTCAGAACACCATCACAGGAATTCAGGAAAACATGTCCCCCAGGCTAATACTGTATTTATCAGGTGATAATCAAATGTAAGTGTAGTGAACTGCCTTCTAGAAAAACCTCAGAAACAATAATTAGAGCCTGCAGTAAGGCAAATGCTATTTGACTCTTGTCATGCAAGACAAGAGTCAAAGACTAGACTATCTGTGGTGTTCTTGCCTTGTTAAATCTTGCATCATTTCAAGTGGCATTTTATGCCTCAGCATTGCTTTCATAGTGGTTGTTTTAAAGTGACTGTAGCAGCAGCTGTCAAGCACAGGCTGGTTGTTCGGTTTGAAGTACTAGATTTTCTTTATTTTGGTCACTTCACCTATTCTATCAATGCCTGGGAGATTTCAGGAAGAGAATGGGATTTAAAATGTTGATCATGTTTTTCTCTGCAATTTTTTTGGTCTCTTTCTTATAAATTTGTACTTGTTTGACATAAACTAGCTGAGGGATGCCTATGCAGACCTTGTAAATAGGCAGAATAAGACAGAATTATTCATACTTCTAAGTAACAGAAGGAAGTCATGCAGGGGATGAATAGAAACTTGCTTGTTTTTCATTTCTGATCAGCTTTTCTCTTTTCTCCTAACCAGCCTTTTACAGCCTCTCAGCTGTTCTCTGAGGCCTCAGACTCTGTCTCACCTTCCTGGTTGTTCCTCTGTTTGGAACCTCAACATGCAGTTGAGATTTTGCTCATGTCCCTCCTTTTTTACTCCTGGTTTCCCACTCTTGCATAGGTGGTGTTGTCCTGCTACTTTGCTGCTTTCCTAGCAGTGACGAACACCACAACAAATAAGAAGAAAAGGAAAAACTCCCTACTGTTTGTCAGGCAAAGGCTTTCCATTGATACTGATCTTATAGATAACTTGAATCTTGATCAAATGTCACAACCAGTATACCTGAAATACAACTGGGTGAGTTCCAGTTGTGACAGTTGACGAGACAAGTTCTGAGCAAAAATAGAGTTAGGCAGGACTCCTGTCCTAAAAATGTCAACGTGTCTTAGAAAGCATATGATTAAATCTGTTTTGGTTAGTGTTATTGCTGAAAATCGTGGTATTAGTAATAATAGAAGGCAGAAGAAGTTAATGCTGCGTGCTTGGGGAAATGTCGCATAAGAACGGAGGGCTGTTTTTCTGTCATATCACACCAGTACTGCTTTGTTAGTTAGAATAAATAATTCTCACAGAATTGTTTGAGTTGAATGAGATCCTTAAGGGCCATCTAGTCCAACTCCCCTGCAGTGAACAGGGACACCTACACTAGATCAGACTGCTCAGAGCCCTGTTCAACCTGACCTTAAATATCTCCAAGAATGGGGCATCTACCACCTCTTTGGGCAACCTGCCACACCATCCTTACTGTAGAAAACTTTCTTGTGTATCCGGTTGAAATCTCCCATGTTCCAGTGTGAAACCATTTCTCCTTGTCCTACCTATCACAATAGATGTTGCTGAAGAGTCCCCTTCTTTCTTATAGCCTCCCTTTAAGTTCTGAGAGGCTGCTCTCAGGTCTCCCTAGAGCCTTCTCTTCTCCAGAGCCTCTGCTCTCTCAGCCTGTCCTTGTAGATCCCTATTCTTTGATATCTACTCAGTTTCTACCCTCTCTTTAAAAAAATAAATAAAAATACATAGTACTAGTCACTCTAGGAACATATAGAATACAGAGAAACAAGGCTATATGGTCTACTTTAAAAAAATAAAAATAAAAATAAATAGTTACAGAGTTGAACTCTTCTCTAGGTTCAACAATACCCATTCCACTCATCTCTATTCATATCATACAGCTTTTAACACAATCTATTAATTTTTTTTTGGAGGAACTTTGTATTTGTCTGAAACTGCTAGTTTCACTGCAATGGAGAGCAACGCCATCTTAGTATCATCACAAAAGATTCAGCAATACCTGAGCACTGAGCTCTAACCAGCATGTCCCACCTCTAATCTACCTCAGTAAGGACAAGAGAGCTGTGGTAGCACTGAGTTCTTGTAATGCCTTTATGGTTTGATTCTTTGAGATGGCAGCAATTGTCCCTGTTATTAAATTAAAACCTGGAAAAGTGCAGAGGGCTTGTTCCTTCTCTTGTTCCTTGAGCTGGGTCTGTACTATGGAGAACTCCCTGTTCCAAAGATCAGCTGCCTGGTCAGTCTGTCTGCTTTGCTGCACTCACTGCAGAAGCACAGCGTAGCTATGTTAGGAGCTAAGCTAGTCCTCTTAGCAACCTGGAAGGATGAGTCTTTTCAGAGCAGGGTGCTGGAAAGCCATGGCTAGCAGCTTCTGATAGCTCTGCAGTGATTTACTGTCATAGTTAAGAAGAGCTTGCCACAGAGTGCAAAACTCAGACCAGGGCTTGGGACCAGAACTTGAATTGAGGGATTCAGGTAGGCCCATCAGAACAAATTTGAGGATTTGAGTCATGTTGTCTTCATTGCTCCAAGCAAACTTCAATACCTTTCACTTTCATCTAGTGAGATGAGAGAACTGTTCTAAGTGAGCTGTCATTACACTACCAGAAGTAATTTTTCATCACTACAGACATCATTTTAGCTCAACTGTTATGTGTTGCAAACCTAAATTTATCATTTCAGTACTTTTATAATTAATCAATTTCTGTTCTGCTGTTACGGTATCTACCTTGCTGACCTGCACATATCCATCTTTACAGGATAGCAAGTTCTGCACTGCATCGGTTTCATGAAGGAAACAAATGTCCCAGAACCCATGGCTTGCACAATACTGCAAGTGTACTTCTTGTAACATAATCTTCCAGTTGCTTAGGGCAATGTTTACACCATTAAAATGAACTCAGAAACATTGTCTCAGTAAACAGGACAAAGTACTTAGAACTTCTTGTGCACTCCAGCAAGCGGGGATAATATTTATCTTCTGTATACTTTTGGCCAGGAAAGAATTGGATGTTGGTGTCTCAAGACATCTGTGCTTGATACATTTCTTTCGTTAGAAATTCATTGCAAATCTGTTGTTTTAATGTACCTATGCCAATTGTTTTTAACAATTTTTAGAGGAACATCCTTATTTATAGCTCAAACAACCATAAAAGAAATGGCTTCACTTTAGGGTTGAATACTTCTGGAGATGATTGTGGATTTATACAAGAACCATGTTACCACAGACATCTTGGGAAGCGTGACAAAAAATAAATAATCATCTTTGCAGTTTTGATAATCTCTGGAAGAAGAAAACAGGGAAAATGAAGTCTTTGAAACAGTCTTCATGATAAAAATACTAAACAAGGTCTATTTCTTATTTTTTGAGAGAACATGGGTTTGTTTTTTTTTTTGAATCATTATACAATGGGGGAGTTTTTTCCGGAGCTGTCTTAACTGCCCCCTTTTTAATGACTATAGTTCTGGATCTGATTTCTTTTTCCACTTTTTTATTAAAAAACAAAACACAAAACTGTATGGAAACCAATTGGAGGATATGTATTTGCCTATGATATATATGTATATGCACAGTCATAGGCTAATGTTGTTAAGGTTAACTGTAAGTACTGGAAGAACTCAGCGAATGCTAGTTTCTCAAAATTGTACATCAGTCAAGCAATCGCTTCCCTATCCCAAAGAAGTAACCACTTCTCACACCTCTCTCTTAGCACTCAGGTCTTATCTTGGAGGCACTCTGCCACTATTTGCTGATTTACTCCCTGACTCTGGAAGGTGCCTTAGAGTTTACTGGGGCTGGGAGCACAGATGTTTCCCTGGAAACAAACAAGACTAGACTCTGCTGGAGTAATATATATATTTTTTTTTTTAACTTGCCAAGACTGGCAGGTCAGACAGTCCCAGGACTTTTAGAATTTTCTTCACGCTATGGTTTTGAAATTACAAGCAACTCTGTAATCAAAACTTATGAAGGAGGACTACTGGTGTTTGTCAGACTGCCACATTGGATTTAGATTTTATGTTCATTGATTCAATAGCCTATTTAAAAACCTTGCTTACGCTGAGGTGGATCTCTCCTGACCTCTCTCTTTGTGATAAAGGGATTATTGATGGTCTCAGGCCATAATTTCTTATCTAGTTCAAGGGGTGACAAAGCACCATAGTCCTGCAGCATCAGTTACAGTCACACAAGAGGAAAAAGTGGCAAAATGCAGGGACGCCTTCTCCCCTGCACAGCTATCACTAAAAAAAGCACCGTCTATTTGCACACAGTCTGTGCCTACCTGTGGCTCTAAGTCATCCCAATGGGGTGTAGTTCCCAGTTTGTTCCTTATTAGCTAGCCATAGAGTAAGGACCTAGAGCTTGCAGTGACAAGGTTAAACTTGTCACGCCTTGTGTTCTGGAAAACTTTTAAAGGCCTTTTTAATAAACCTGTTTTGTAGTACACACAGACTGACTGCAGACATGTCTTGAAAATAAATTGGTGGCAGTGCTGCTGAAGGTCTGATGAGGTTTTTTGAGCCTGAAATTCACCTGCCTATCTTCCTCAGTGTAACACATGGCCCAACAGAAGTCCCTGTGTCTCTACAAACCATCTTCTGCTTAAACTGACTTGGAATCCTAAATAAGTGTCTTAAATTCAAATCCTTATGGTCACAGTCACATAACTACAGTTTAGCAAAGCAAATGGAATGACTGTCAAGTGCTCCTATTATAAAAATAAGTTGTTTTTTTCTCTTTGCTGAGTCATTGCTTACAAAGCTAATGCGGTCTCAAAAAATATTTGTTACCAGAGTAAGTAATGGAGTAATATTAATTTCCACATGGTCAGTACTAAAGCCCTCTGGCCAGCAGTGCAGTGTTACCCATTCAGTAACATCACTTATTTTCACTTATTGTGAAAACTCTGTTTTGCTTGGGTCAATGCCACAATTTCGAACCCCTGAACTAACCCTGTTGTTTTCAGATTTATGAAATCTATTTTAATTCTTGGTCTGTAGAAACTGAGGTTAATGAAGTAATCATTCTGATTCCACATTTAGTCTGGAAGTAAAATATCTCTTGTGTAAAGATGCTGTTAGGCTGACAACTGTACTTTCCATCACTCTTGCTCTTTCTCCCAGTGCCATTTCATACTAGCCTCAAAGTTGTTCTGTTTCAATGGCTCTGTCTATGATCAAAGGCAAAACATTGAACTGATTCAAAATCTCCTTTCTCCAAAAAGGATGTGTGGGCATTCTCTTGTTTGTGTAATTGTGCCTGCTGCTACTAAACTACAGTGGCAACTCCTTGGTTTGCTTCCTACATTAGATTCCTCTGTAGATCAATTACAGGTAGCTGTAGAAACTGTTTTTCTTGTTCAAAGTCACACAAGAATCCATAATCACGCATTTCCAGTTCTTAAATAACCCAGTTCTTCTGGAGTACTATCTTTAAAAGTTTGTTTTTTAAATCTATAGAGCATGAAGAATACACTGTAGGTATATCTGATACTCATTTCTGTACTATGCTTAGCCAGTCCAGTGTGATCACTGAAATACATGATCATTGAAGCATTAGAGCATTTCATGACTTATCTGTAGTTGTGATATGCTTGAGTCGTAGAGCCAAGGTTTCTGATGGATAGTTCCTATCTGTACATAAAATAGCCACCTATACACACACACAAGTATTTTTCCAAGAGTTATGTAATACATATTGTTCAGCCCAAGTAATGAAGGGCTGTCCCTGTGCGGCATTATATTTGCATTCTTGATGCCTGTGAGTAAATGGGTGGCAAAACTTGAATCTTGGCTCTGGGTTCTGCAGGAGCCATGAATCATACAGCATTACCCTCTGCAGCACAGAAAAAGGACCTGCTTCAGGTGCCTTAGCAGCAAGTGATCTATGTAGCAATGTCTGAAAAAGCTGCTAGCCCTTAGCCCTTCATGTGGTTTCATGTGGCAGGGCATGATGGAAACATGGCACTGCAAGGTGGGCAGTGTGACAGGCAAGGCTGAGCTGGTGATATACAGCAAGGTAGATGCAAACCTGCATTGACCCAATGCAGACTGTGGGCTCCATCCTCCACCTTCACACCCATGGACTTCCTTAGCCCTCTGCTAAGTCACTCTAAGCTCTCAGAACAGGCTCTGCATACTGGCTTGCTTCAAATTCAGCCCGAGTGTATTTAGAGGAACAGATATGATTTTCTTTTTCCTGGTCATAAATGTCCAGGTTTTAACACATTTTCCCCATGAGGCAGAAATTTCTGCTGCAAAGGTTTTTAGGCACAGCATGGGTTATTACTTTGTGTGGTATTTTTCCGTGGTATTTTTCCTAGCCTTTGTTCCAAGGTCTGATTCAGCAGAGGTAGCAGAAGGAATCACTCAGCCTCTGCATCTCTCTGCACTCAGTAATCCACATATGGTCTATAACATGCTACCCCTACAGTATTATACAGTCTCCTTCAAGGCAACATCAGTCATTTGCCTTTGCCTTATAGAAAGTCTCCCTCTGACTAGGAGGTGACAGTGACAGGCAGTCTGCCCTGTTTTGAATCCCACAGGTTACCATTGAAGTGGTGGATGGCCCAGACACAGAAACTGACAAGGACCTTCAGAAAGAGAACAGCAAGCCCAGCTGGCCAGTCTCATCACCTGTCTGGAGAAACTGGTGGCAGAGGTCCTCCACCTTGACTCGCATGAGCAGTGGTGACCAGGACTATAAGTATGACAGCACTACTGAGGACAGCAACTTCCTGAACCCTCTCGGTGGGTGGGATGGTCATGCACCCAGTCACCGGACATTTGAGTCCAAGGAGCAGTCAGAGTATGGTAAGTTTGTGTTCCAGGCCTCTTATGGGCATCTTGGGATTGTAAAATGAGTTTGGGGGAAATGAGAATGGTGAGGCATTGCTGAAAGTAGGCCAAACAAAATAGGATATTTCAACATGTGGCTTTTGTTCATCAGCTTTTTAAATACAAATCTGTGCAGATGCACAAGCTGTACTGTGGTAGCTACATTCCACTAGTAAGTCTATAATCTTGAAAATCATACCAGTTATCCCATAAGAGGGTCTTTTTTTTTTTTTTAGTTCTAAGTGTGCTTTTTTTAAAAGCAAAGGAAGCAAGGTTTCATATTTATTTTTAGAATAAGGATAAGTACAAATTTAGAATCGTGCAGTGGTTTGGGAAGTAAAATATAATTATTGGTTAAATAAGCTAGATCTAAAACATGGTAGTGTTTGGTGGATACATAAATAAGATGAATTATGTTGCTGCATGTGTGGGGAGTGGCATATGCAGCAGGAACATTGTGTATTTGCGTGTGTAATTCTCTTCCAGATGTGTCATGGTGAAAACAATTGTTTTCAGCTTATTGCATGAAATGGTTGCAGAAACTAGAAGCAGAAAGGAGCTACATTTGCACATTGCTCCACCAGGGTATAACTATACACATGAGAGAGACTCAAAGGAGGTGAATTAATATGTGCCCTTCAGGAGCCACAGGTAGATCAAAGCCTCTGCGTTTTACGATAATAAGTAAATAGAATTAGAGCAGGATTTCAAAGCCGGAGTATTTGTGGCGCTTGTGTTGCAGCAGCTAGATACTGCAAAGTGGCTGTTGTGCATTGTTTCAGTTTTAACTTTTCCCTGTTTATGTCCTAGAGCCTTAACGCTGGAGAGAGCCTTTTTGCAGAACGGTGTATTTAAATGTATACATTTGTAGTAAATTTTTGTGGCCAGCAGATTAAAGCCTATCCCTCCTTTTTGTACCTGTGCTTATTTGTGGGCACACTTCGTTGCCAGGAGCTCATATATTAGGTGGTGGTTATTTTAGGCAAAATAACATTGCTCTCACAAATAACTGTGGTAGAATTAATAGGAACAATATATGTGTGCGTGTGTGCATAATATATAATTATATAATCTATATATAATATATATATATATAGAGAGAGAGAGAGAGAGAGATTAAAAATAGGGAGAACAGGTTGAGATCCAGAAGAAAATTCAACCTAATATGTTTAATAGCTAGATAGTGTGCTCTTTAATGCAGTATAAAGATGAGGTAGGCAGGCTTGCAAATTAATTAGAGCTCTTTTACCATGCACCAGAGCACCTTACTAATTGTAAGAAACTCTTGGCCTTCTGACTAATGTAAAATGTTGTGTGCTTGTTGTGTGCTTCTGGCCTTTGCCAGGAGGATGTTGTAGCAGATAATGTCTGCAGGGGGCTTCTATGCTATTTCCAGCCCATCTCCATTATAATTTATACTATATATAATCCTATTCAGATTGCTGTAGTGCCCTCCTTGGCACATCCCAGAATCAGGTGTCATTGCACACAGAGTACTGCAGGGATCATCATTATGCCCACACCATGTTAGCGGACACCAGATTCAGCAGCAGCAGTGTAAGAAAGGGAAGAAAAGTGCATAAGGTCACTGCCACTAGGAACTTGCACCTAGGCAGCTTGCTATGAGTGAGATATATAACCTTTGCATACTCCTGACAAGAAATGTTTAATAGCACCCTTCAGAGTTGTCATCAGTTATTACATATGGTACAAATCAAGTAATGTGTTCTAATAACCAGCTCAGGAAGTCCACAGCCAGCATGGCAGTGAGGGGGAAGTGGGAATCATGTATAGCATCGAGGCCTTTTCAAAGATCTGTCCTTGCATCTTGTGCTTACATGGTCAGCCTGTAGTTATAGAGCAGTCACTAAACTCGCATTTGCTTTGCTACTGGTATGAGTGTAGCCCAAAGGAGCAGAGCTACAAGCTACCATCACAGGGTCAGTTGAGCACATATAGGTTACAGAGAACACTATTAAGCCAGGAGTTTGTAGCGAGACGAAGCTCAGCTGGTGGGGCTGAAAGGCAAGATGCCAATTAGAATGGAAGTGAACTGGTGTTGGTTCACAGGCTCCACCTGGTGCCCTTCACAAGGTGGGATGTGCAACAGATAATCCAACAAACATAAGAGATTGGATCGAAGGTGTTTAGATACTTAATGGTGGCACCAAATCTTGCAGACTTGGTACTGTTTTATCTTGGCTGTTTACTAGAAGACAGTAACTTCATGTTTCCACTACAGAAGATTCCTCCTACTTACTTAGGAATCAGATTTGGTGTTATTTAATAATTTGTGTGGACCAGTACAAATTGCATGTAGTTCTTAGTGCCAGATGACTTTGTAGTTCCCTACATTTGTGGCAGTATTCTGGTAATATCTATTTTCTGTTTGAGGGGCAGAAAAAAAAACTTTGAATTTTCAGACATAACCCTCAGCCTCCCATGGTCCAACATTCATGGTATCCTAGAAGTTAATTAGATGAGTATTGTCATGCTATTGCTGTGTGTTTTGAAGAGAAGAAAAATGAAATGCAATTTATCCTCTAGTGTTAGTTTGTGATCAGAAAACATACTCCTATATGCAGGGAGATTATGTGAGTAGATGTGTAGTGTTAGTCCATGACCCAGCTTTGCAGCTGAGGAGTCTCAGTTGCCAAAAGGTCAAAAGAGAAAGGAAATATTTTTTCAAATAATTCTGCATGCATTTCCCTGAGGAGCATCAAGTGTGAAAACCATTTAAACAGCAGGCTTATGCCTGGCACTTAGCCCGAGCTTCAGGTAGAGACATCTGGATTCCATTCCTGTTTTGCCTTCTTAATAAAAAACACTATGCACAGTAGTTTTGGGTAGTAGGAGTTTTGTTTCTTCATTTCCTTCCTCATCTTTGTTTTTATACAGACTACATTGATGGTGATGGAGACTGGAGCCCATGGTCCCTTTGTAGCGTCACCTGTGGGAGCGGCAGTCAGAAGCGGACGAGGTCCTGTGGGTATGCCTGTACTGCCACCGAGTCACGGACCTGCGACAGGCCAAACTGCCCAGGTTTGGCTGTGCTAGCAGAAGGGCAATGGGAAGGGGTGATCATGGCAGGGGGAGGAGTCCTTCTGTGCATAAAGCCAAGGCCCTGTTAGGTCTATGGCTAGGTAGGAGTTTTGCTGGGAAGAGAGAGATTATTTCTCAAGGGCATTTATGAAATGGCAGGTTCTTTGCTAGTAATAATATGTCTCCAGATGCAGTTTGCCATCCCATGAGACTTGAAAGACAAATACGGGCTTTTTTTAGATTACAGCAGTCATTTTTGTGCCTAGTATGTTTTGTATTCCAGAGGGTGTAATCTACTCTCGTGTGACAAATTTGTGTTAATTTTAGAATTTCAACACAGGCACACTGTTGCCTCAGTGAGCCTGTATTCTGCTATGCAATGAGTGGACATGCCTGTGCTTTGAACAAATAGCTTCCCCCACTTATATGGTTAATAAGATGTGTGCCTAATATAGCCAGAGTTACTGTAAGACTCTGAATCTATATATTAAATATGAAGGAAAAAAAACCTTAAATACCTGTTCATGTTTTACTCAAGATCTTGTTATTGCTGGGCTGCAAAATCTCCTGCCCTTGGAAATCAACAGGGAAGTCAACAGCTATGTTAAGGTGGAAATATCACCTCCTGACTGTTGTCATGTTACTTAGTTAGCTGGAGACTTATGAACATTAAGCTTGGTCCTGCAGCAGCTGGGGTGCATATAAGGATGACAGAAAGGGTAGCTGTGTATGGAATGTATTCAGAAAATATAGCCATAACAAGGAGTTAGCTTCTGCTTTCCTAAAGGCATGGACGTTAAAGTAAAGCAAGTGTTGCTTGGTGGTGATGATGATGATAACTTTTGCTTTACTGAAAGCAAGGCTGAGTGCTTGAACCTACATTATAAAAGTTTAAAGCTGCTATGGCAACCTTGTCTCATGATGTTCTTTAAACACTACTGTGGGTTTTTATTTAGGTGAACTTGCAATGTAGTTCATAGAATCATAGTCTTTTGAGCTGAGAAGGACATTTAAAGGTCACCTAGTCCAAATGCCTTGCAATGAACAGGGGTAGCTACAGCTGGATCAGGTGCCTCAGAGCCCCATACAGGGGTGGGGCATTCACCACCTCTCTGGACAACCTGTTCCAGTACCTTACCCCTCTTACTGTAAAAACCTTCTTCTATATAACCAATCTAAATCTCCTCTCATTTAGTTTGAAACTGTTTCCCCTTGTCCTATCACAACAGGCCCTGCTGAAGAGCCTGTCCCCTTCTTTCTTATAGCCCCCCTTTAAATACTTAAAAGGACAACAATGCAACAATGATGATATATGTCATTTCATTACTCCCCAAGGTCAGAGAAGTAAAAGCGTGTGCTGTGGTGGTATCATGATGCTCTCGCAGTGATTCAGAAAGGCAGAAACGGTGGTCTGGTGTTTTTGTTGGGAAGAGAAATGTCTGGAGGGCTGGAAAAATGGTTTAGGAACCTTAGTGAGGCAGTTGGAGGAGTCTCACTCACAGCTAGATGTGTACCTTCATTGCAAGATAACTACTACTAGGCAGTTCAGGAGAAAAATACTGCTGAATTTCTTCATACATCCTAAAGCTTAAATCATAAGGGATTAAATCTGGAATAAAGCATGTAGCCCCCCACTTATATTTTCCAGTATTTATTACCAGCTAGCATCAAATGGGGGCAAACTTGAAAGAACATGTTATGTCATGTAACAGACCCCCAACGATCAGCAAGCAAAATACATTCACTCTTTGAGGCTGTGCTGACATTTTTAAAATGACAAGGGCAAAGCTCAGCTTCTACTGTTTATAATTCCAGCAGTGAATTACTGCCTTGTAATGGATTCTTGGGTATCTATTATTCTTCATCTGCTGCTGGAATAAAGGCAAAAATCATATGATAATTTTATTGAAAAGCTGCCTTAGGCTGTTTTGCAAGCCACTATTATGTCCTGGTTCAGAAGATCAGGAGAAAGTTCAGTGGAAAGAAGATGGATGGTGAACAGACTTCATTATTAACTGCATAGTTATCATGCATTAAAGAGCTTTCTGCTCTCTGTAGAGGTTTTTAAATCAAGGGGGAAAAAAGAATAGTGTTCAAATGCTTCTTTGAAGAGATAGCTGTTTTAAGGCTACATAGCAAAGACTGGGAAACATGAGGTTGCTAGGCAGGGTGAACTAAAACAGCACAGAAAGGATGCATGCTTCAGAAGATCAAGTCATATTTTTTGGAAATCCATTTGTTTCCCTCCTGCCAGCAGACACTTAGCTGGCGATTGCTGGAAGACCCTGATATTTTTATTCCATTGCTTCTATAGCTGTGATATTGCTGCTGGAGCTGGGGGATGGGCTTGATAGGTGAGGTTATTTATGTCCTGGCTACTCGCACATTTCAACTCCAGTACTAGGAGAGACCAACAAGTACATTTCTTGTTGTAATAGCATCTTTCTTCCTTGCACTTCCTGAAAATTGTCTTCCCATGTATGGATGTGAATTTATACACCTGTCTTCAGACACGTTGCTGTGATTTACATGACACAAATGCTGTTTCCCTAGTGCTTTGTAATTGCGGTTAGGACTCAAGTCTTTATTTTGTCAAGCATTTGTATTATGTGCTTTTCAGACAATGCTGGTCACATAAAGCTGACCAGGTGCAGTATGTGCAGATGTTCTAGCTGAATTACTGGGAGCTGCTGGCAAGTCTTGAGTCTAGAAAGCGTAGGAAAATATTGGCTCTCCCATCCATGCCTGCACCAGGTTCAAAACTAAACAATTTGCTGCTCAAAAATAATCTAAATTCTCAACTTTAAAAACTTTCTACCTTGAGGTTATGCTACTTCTTTAAAACTGCAGCTACTTTTGTAACAGCCCTTGTTCATTATGCTTTGAAATGAGCGCTCCCTTCTGCAACAACTTCGGAATGCTTCTTTGACTAACAGAGCAGGTTTCAGAATAGGGGGGAGGAGGAGGTGGCAGGGAGACAGTTGATTTTGTTCTGCTCTAATGGGAAAACACCACCATCATTAACATGTTTGCCATAGGGATCGAAGATACCTTCCGGACAGCAGCCACAGAAGTGAGCTTTCTAGCTGGGAGTGAAGACTTCAATGCTACCAAACTGTTTGAAGTTGGTAAGCAGCCCTGTCAATCTTCCAGTAATAGATAAGAAACTTACTTGGATTTTCCTGTTTTGATTCTCACTGTGAGTCCAACATTTTAAGTTTATTGTAAAATGCATCAGTAAAAATGGTTGTTTATTATCTTGCTCAAGTTTACAACATGGACCTACTCGCATCACAGGCTTTCTTCTCTTAAGAAATTTCTGTGCCTCTTTCACTGTAAAAGTGAGTCTCTGTCCTAGCTCAGAAAAGAGCTGTGTGTGTCCATGCTAATGGCTGGCAACAATCAAACACTGTTTGGTATGGAAGATGCTATAAAAGCAATTTAAATACAGCTGTCACATTAACAACAAAACAGCAATGACTTCTACAAGCACAAACAGCTTTTACAATAGTGTGTCTTTATAATCTTTGTAATCTTTATAGGGCATGACTTGATACTTGGTCTATCTAAAATTCAGCCTACCTCCAATGAAACCATGCAGTAGTCGTTCTTAAATGTTGCTGGACCAAATAGCTAACCAACTCCAGCACCTCCCTCCTGCAGTGCTGGAGCACAACAGTTAGTGACAGCTGGGAAAGGACTCTTTAAAGAGGCAGTAAAACGAAATACAGATCACTAAGTAAATATTTTGCAGGAATGTTTGCTGTCATGTGGGCAGTCATTGCATTACTTGAGTCCTATTAAGTGTGGAGCAAGATGTGCAAGTTCTCTTAAAGCCCACAGCATGACATGGACACCTTAAACAATATTTTGGGTAGGAGATGATTTAATGGATTCTTTCAAGACTGTTGAGAAATAATAAAAGGCCAGTATTTAGTACACTAACTAGTCTGTAAGTCTGTAATTCCAGCTCTAACACGTGATCTTGGTGCCATTAAGTATTCCTAATATAGAGACACTATGATGTTATGTCACATGCCCCTTTAGAATCCAAATCATTTCTGGCTGCATTGGTAAGAAGTCAGCCAAGAAATATCCCTTTGGGAAGAAGAAGAGAGAAAAAAGTATTTTGTAGTTAAAATGAAGACATAATTAGGCTTAATAATAAACTTAAAAGTAATCCAGGCTTTGCTTGCTATCTTGCTGTTTCCAGCACAAAGTCTTTCAACATCCAGATCTCCTGTTATTACAAAGGTGAGCATGTAGACAAGGGCTTGAAATTGAAGACAGTCTTCAAAGCCCTGTACAAGTTCAAGAACACAAACTCCCAGTGTCAGTTCTATTGCTTGTAAAGTTCTGACAGTGTCTCTTCTGCTGCATGAGGATATCACAGGCTAGGCTAGAATTTGCCAGGTAAAAGAAACAGGTACTGTTACTGCAGTTTAATTCAGAGTAACACTGCTTGAGGCCCTTGAAGTCAGTCATCTCTTTAATTTCTTTATCAAACAGGACAGCCCCTTAACACACTGCAGGCAAGGCAACTGCCCTTCATTTCTTAAGCAAAGCAGCAGTGCTGAACAGCAATGCTTTACTCATTTGTTATCAGATCATATCAATTCAGCTGCCGTGCCGTATCCTAAGCTTTCCATTTCCTGCCCTTAAACAGATACTGATAGCTGTGAAAGATGGATGAGCTGCAAAAGTGAGTTCTTGAAGAAATATATGCACAAAGTGGTCAATGATCTTCCCAGCTGCCCATGCTCCTACCCCAGAGAAGTTGCTTACAGCACTGCTGACATCTATGATCGAATTAAGAGAAAAAACTTCCGCTGGAAAGATGCAAGTGGTCCAAAGGAAAAACTGGAGATCTATAAGCCCACTGCACGGTACTGCATCCGCTCCATGCTCTCTTTGGAGAGCACAACACTGGCAGCTCAGCACTGCTGTTATGATGATAACATGCAGCTGATTACCAGAGGGAAAGGGGCAGGTACACCAAACCTGATCAGCATTGAATTTTCAGCAGAACTCCATTACAAAGTGGACATTCTGCCCTGGATTATATGCAAAGGTGACTGGAGCCGATACAACGAAGCACGGCCTCCGAACAATGGGCAGAAGTGCACAGAAAACCCTACAGATGAAGACTATTACAAGCAATTTCAAGAAGCAAGGGAATACTGAAGAGGTTTTCTTCCTCTTCAGACAGAAAATAGCATTCATTTCCTGGATGCCAAAGAACTGATAACTGCTGCTGCACTATCTTCTTGACAGGCGCTGATCAGTTTCTTTCTAATGAATGTGTATAGTTGTAATATAATACATAACTATTTTCATAGTGTGTGTAATTTATAAGCACATATCTCTCTATCTCACACACACCTATTTTTACATACAGACATACATAAAACTTGTCCCAGTAAGATTTTATACTACAATAACGTTCATTTAATAATGTGCATTTTGCTTTATTCACCAACTATAATATGTGAGATGGGGGAGCAGGAGGTAGGGGTGCAGCTGCCATCACCATCAGGACCAAGACCCCAGCTGAAGAGGGCGCACATTTAAAAGTTATTAGGAAGAACAGGGTTGAAAAACATACTCTTCCATCTGGGAATGGTTTACAAGATTAATGCATCTACAGCATTACTTTTCTCTCTAAGTGATTTGATGACTAATGAGAAAGGAAAAAGAAAGGAAAATTGTTGTGGGTTTTTTTTGGGTTTTTTTTTTTTGGAATTGACTATAAACCCTCACTAGCAAGTGGAATTCTGTTAACTTCTAGGCCAGGTCCTCACTACCAACCTGGGGCAGGCCTGCAGTGAGGGAAAGTTGTGGTTTTCCCAGAATCAGTCCCAGGGCCATGGTCCCACAGCTCCAGGTATGTAACTACAGCTGGCAGGGCCAGCGTCTTACAGTGGGGAGCAGATCTTCAGGGCCGCTACCCATAAGCTAAGCGTGCTATAGGTTGTTGGAGGAGTGAAGCCTGATGTTTAAACATAAAGAGTGTTTATTTTTTCCATGATAGGAAAAATTGGAATACACATTTCTAAGTAAGTTCCCTCAGATAGAGCGTGCACCCAGCTTTTTTCTTCCCTCTTTATCATATGCTGAGGGCACAGTATCCTACAGAAGAAGCTGTTCCTTCATGAAGCTATCTGGGAGGAACTACGTTGAGTTAAAACTTTTTTTTCCCCCAAAAAAAGTTAGCATTATTTTTGTAAAGTATTTATTGAATTATAACAATAGCTCACACATGGGATGTGTCTCTAACATGAAAGGCTTCAGTAGATGGAACGCGATCGCAAGAATGACGGTTGTTAGGCAGAGATTTACTTCCACATTTTTATAAAGCACATGTTTACAGACATGACCCTGTAAAGAAGCAACTGATACCTGCATTTTTATGAAAGATAAAAATTACACCATGGGTAAATAAATATTTACAGTTCCATCCCATACAAGTTTGTCTTGCTGCACACCAGTAATACTTTCATTTGGAGAACTCACTAGAGAGCTAAACCTCACTAGAGACATGTGACATGTATTTTCATATTGCATGCTCTGATGGCTGTATGAACTCTGCAGCTGGAACCGCACACAGCAGTAAAGCCAATCTTGCATTACAGTCACTATTTCTTAGCTAAAAGACTCAAGACAGCCACAAAAGACAACTCCTCTCCCTCTATATGTGAACACATGCATACATACTGTAAATCTCTGCACTAGCTCTGCAGGCCTTTCAGGTACAAGCTGATTGCAACTTCCTGGGCAGACATATGCTTCTCTTCCCAGCATTACCTTGTATGTAAGAAGTCTACTGAGTGCAGGAAGCATCAGGATGGTGGCCATCTGCCCAGGTGTCACAACTCAGAGGGCTAAAAAGCAGCCCAGGCCTCAAACACCCACACTGACCAAAGGTGCAGGGTGTGCACTGCAAAACTACTCTCGGTCTGCCAGATCTACTTTGATAAGCTGCAAAGCCATAGCACTGCACTTATGCTCCAGATATCCAGAAACACAGCAGCCCAGACAAAGCTACAGCCTACACGCAACAACTGAGGTACCGAGGTAACTGCACCAGCTGGGAATCTTGGCCAAGCCATCAGATCTCCCCCCACACAGGCTCAAGCTGGAGATCCAGGGAGACATGGCTATGTTCTAGCACTAACTGGTAGCAATGCAACACGCCTAGTTGAGCAAGAGGGTAAACATGGGGATTGCCTCTTAATTTTTATAGGAACCAGGTTTTGTAAATTCTTGCAAGGATGTATGAAGGAGCCCTTAGCTAACTGAGCCAGTTAAATTGATAGCAGATGGATGAAAAGCAAAAGCAACTCCAGGATCAGTCACTTGCTAGGGAAGGCAGGTATTTTCTGCAATATGGCAGTAAAGACCCTGCTTTTTACTTCACTTCACTTTGTGGGGGAACAACAAGCTCAGGTTTCTCTGGGAGGGCAATGAGAGGGCACTCACAATTCTTGAAATATAAAACATCCCTGCATTTTAGAGATTAGTAAATTATGGTGCTTTTGAGAGAAGTTACTGTACCACTGAAACCAAATGTAACGAATAAAGTGTCAAGGAAGAGGACAAATTATTGTACTAAATGAAATGATGCACAGCATTTCCCACTCCCATTTTGCCAAGGCTGGAAGCACTACAGGACTGAAACTGCTGATAAGGACATACCAGTTTTTTTTTTTTTTTTTTTGAAGCATTAGTCTTGGAGCAGAGATCAAGAGAGGACTCACACTTCTGCAGTCTTAAGCAATAGTCTTCATTAAAAACAAAGCTAGTACTGTTTTGTAATAAATTATATCCCTTCAGGACAGGGCTGCTTTTTCCTTTTCCAATTTTTTCTCTTAATTTACTATCCAGCAACCGACACTATACCTGGAATGACTTGGAACAGCAGAATTTAGCAAAGTGCTGGAGATTTCACGGCCAAATTTGGCTCCGTCTCCTGAATTCCATGTTGAAATAAGACCTTAGGGAGGCTTCACAGTCACCCATTTCCAGGTAGAGGCCAGTAGTTAACAGAAGCTGCTGTCCTGTTTCTGACATAGCACAGAGCAACCATATTTGAAGGCCCAACCAAAGACAGGAGGGGAATTGAAACAAGCAGAACTACACAAAGCTTATGGTATCAATGAGAAATCTTCATGGCACCTACAGTGGCCATCCCAAAAAGAAGCTTAATGTACAAATTTTATATCAGTTTGCTATATCTGAGCAGTTCCATTTACTTATTTCCCGTCAGCAAAACCAGAGCAAGGTATTACCTCCTGGCCGCTCATTCCTCTGTGCTACCTTTCCCTTGAGCAAGCACAGCTGTTGGTGCACTAAGAAAAAGGCAAGTTACCCTCATTACCTGTAATGCTGATCTACCAACAGAGAGATCACCGCATGGCCTCAGAGCCAAGCTGGCAGGAGTGCCTGTAGCTGGCACTGCTGCTGAGAAAGATGTGTGGCGCAGTGCCCCAGGGCAGCCATAGATGGATCGAGTGTGTACCTTTGATGGTTAAAAGGATGAGCAGGCCTGCCTTCACACTGCCTGAACAGCTGCTGAACAGCAAAATTCCACTAACATAACCCACAGTGATGCATATGGGTTATAGGACAATATAGCGAAAAACAAAAACACACACACTCACAGATCCCTGCAGTTTTGCATTTCTTACCAGCTGCATTTTTCCCCCCTGCTGTGCAGAATGGTTTGCACTGTCAACACAACACATTCTTTAGAAAAATGCCAGTGAGTTCATAAGACCGCCTTTTCCATTCATAGTCTTTTCATTGTGATTGTAGGGTTGGTTTCAATGAATAACTGATGCACCTGACACTTCTCCTAAGTCGGGCCTGCTGACAGCAGCAACGATTCTGTCACTTTTGCATCCCCAGCAGTGAACCCCTCCTGACTGTTTTATGGACAAGGTGGCTCCTGCTGCCCAGGGCAGGATAAAGCTTTGGGTTTGTCACAGCTGTGGCTGGAACAGCAGTGGGACAACAACAGAAAAGGTTCTTGCCCCATGTGAGGGGCAATAGCACAACCAGGTTCTCCCTTTCTAATCACAGAGGAAGGCACAAAGCAGAGGAGAATGAGCTCCAATCTCACCCTGCACCTGTGCAAGCACAGCCACATCCCTTCCCCTGCCCACACTAAGAGCACAAGGGCAGAAGTGCACTTGCAGGGGGAGACCAGCAGTAAGCACCAGCATAAGGAGGACAACTTGTCCTCAAACCAGTGTGAGTGTAGTGCTGCCTGGCTGCAAGGCACTGATGCAACAGCTGACAGAGCATGTGTGTTTCTATCGCCAGTTTCTCCTTCCTTTCCCCTTTGTAACTTTTAATGGAAAAATGTGTAGGCAGTTTCCATTATGCCTGCACTGTTCCAGACAAATTAAGGGGTTGGCTAAGAAACCACTGGCTTCATATTTCATAAATAGTACAAACATACACGTATATTTTTATATGAATGTGAATGTAAATGTATTTAGGATATCCTCTAGCCACGCACTTTATAGCAGCACATCGCAGCACCTGCAGGAATAGACCTTCAGAAGAGCCCTCCTTCTTTTGGGGTGTTCAGAGAATTGGGCTTTTTTGAATGAGGGGGAGCTTCACCAGGGAGAAGTCATTCCCCTAGCAGAAGCCGTTCTTCAGCCCTGCCTTTTCCTTACTGAGCAACGGCTTTTTTCATTTTTCCTTCTCAGCAGCAGTGCTAAAGCCATGTGTGTCTTTTATGACTAATGTTCTATCAGTTTAAGAAACCATACATACTTTCCGTAGTTGCTCTCTATCACACAAAGGCTGTGGGAGGGATTGTAGCCACAACAAGAAGATTTTTGTTCATTAAAATGCACAATTTATACAGGATTCAGAACATTACATTCTAGAAGTGACTGCTATATGGTACAGGTTAGATCAACCAAATCTAACAGATTATGGTGGCTCTAGCTTGAATATTTCCTTTTTAAGCCTAGGCAAGCAATACTACATGTGTTAAATGTTATAATTTGCTGAGAGACTAATAGTCTGTGTTAAAAAGGAGATGAGAGCAGCTAATCCAGCTGCACAAGAGGTGATCAACAAGACCAGGGAGTCCATCCAACACTTCCAGGCTGGCAACAACACTGAGCTGCAGTCTTTTTAAGCAGAGCTTAAAAACGAAAGAAAAAACTGATAGAAAGCAGGAGATTTTTCCTCCAAAGTGTAACCACCCATTTCTCCAAAATAACTCCTCTTGCAAAATTCTCCCCAGCTTGCAGTAGGCACTGAGGTGCTCTACAGCACCAGAGCCAGAGCCCCCAGAGAAGCTCATCACCTGGTGGCGAGGCAGAGTAGAACAGCAGCAGCCATCACCACACAGGCAGCTAAAGGACATCCACACACCCAATTGTGCCACGAGCTGCTCTCTGCACCAGTACTCCCTGCTTCTCTGCCTACAGCCCATTTTTCAGGTAAAGCCAGAGGCCACACTCAGTAAATACTGCTGTTATGAGCTAGGGCCTCGTCTGGAAAACTGCTCCAAAAGACACCACATCACCCTGTTTGCTGCTCACATGGGGGACAAGTAACAGCCTCTTGCCCTATCACTACCTTGCCATTGTGTCAGCTTTGTACATCCATCTGTAAGCTCTCTGACAGTGCAGATCAGTACCACCAGAACAGCCACTGCACTGCCCTGACTTATCCTGAGACACTTCTCATGCCAGATTTTTTAAATTTTTATTTTTTTTAGTGGGAAGAGGCTTTACCAGACCTCACACTGAAGACAGTGCATCTCTTCTGGTTGAATTCCAGTACAAAGAACGCACTTCATACACAGGGGCTCTCTTTCATGTTTGATTGCTGGACTAAGACTACACTGTTGTCAAGCTCAAAGGGGGGAAAAAAAAAAAAAGGCAAAATCCATACAAATCAGAAAAGCATTAGGTAAATTTAGCTAAGAATGCATCTTCTTACCAAATGGAGCACGATGCTGCTTCATTTAATTAGTCTATCCGCAGGAAGTCAGAAAGAACAACCCGTGATATTCTCTGTGCTGAGAGGAATACAGTCCCCAGGCAAGTCAAAAAAGAAGAGTGTAGTTTAAGTCCCTCCAAATGCCAGCACTCATTCAATAAAGAAACATGCATACATGAAAGTAATGTGTGAAAACAAACCCTGACTGATCGAAAATATTTGCACACTGTCTTTGATGACACACAGCTGGGAGGAAGTTTTCATCTGCTTGAGAGTAGGAAGGCCATACAGAGGGATGTGAATAAGCTGGATCAATGGGCTGAGGCCAGTTACACGAGCTTCAGTAAGACCAAGGGCCGAGTCCTACACTTTGGTCACAACAACCCATTCAAAGCTACAAGCTTTGGGCAGAGCTGCTGGAAAGCTGTGTGGAGTAAAGAAATCTGAAGTGTTAGCTGACAGACAACTAAACACAGCCGGGAGTGTGCCCAGCTGGTCAAGAAGGCCAACGTATCAGAAATAGTGCAGCCAGCAGGAGCAGGAAGGTGATCATCCCTCTGCACTCAGCCCTGGTGAGGGCACACCCCAAGTACTGTATGCAGTGTTGGGTCCCTCACTACAAGTAATACATTGAGATCCTGGAGCATGTCCAGAGAAGGACAGTGAAGCTGTCTTATGGGTAGCAGCTGAGTGAACTGAAATCGTCCATTCAGGAGGTGGTTCAGGGGAGACCTTATCGCTCTCTACAACTACCTGAAAGGAGGATGGAGCAAGGTGGGGGTCTGCCTCTTTTCCCAAGTAACAGTGATAGGATGAGAGGGATTGGACTTAAGCCATGGCAGAGGAAGTTCAGGCTGGATATTAGGAAAAATGTCTCTTCTGAAAGAGTGGTCAAGTATTGGAGCAGGCTGCTCAGGGAAGTGCTGGAGAAATCACCCTGGAGGTTTTCAAGAAACATGTAGTTATGGCACCGAGGGACATGATTTAGCTGGCATGATGGCGATAGGTTGGTGGGTGGACGTGATGATCTTAGTGATCTTTTTCAACCTTAATGATTCTATGATTCTGAAATTGAGATCTGCATGAAGTGAGCAAAATGGTGGTTCTAGCATTGAAGGACTGGGGGCACAGCCAATGAAGGAACAGGTCACGTGGACCATATCACATGCTGCCAGGAAGAAAACTTGGCATCTACACATAGTATGACACAGTAAGCGATCCTGTCCTTTATACAGCTACTTTTTCCATAACAGCCTTCTCCTGTAGAGGGAATGGCAAAGACAGACATTGCAACACACTGATACAGCCATAGGCATAGAGGGGCTTGACATCTACACCTCTGCTCCACGCCAGCAAGCATGAGCAGCATGGGACAGGGTCCTCATTCTCTGAAGACAACAGCAAGGATTGATTCATCTTTATTCCACTCTGCTGTTTCGGGAATTGAACTCTTCACCAACAAGAAGCAAGTAAACATTTTCCATTCCCTTCTTTTCCTAGATGTTGAGCAAGAGTAACTTGTAAATTGCTTCCAGCAACTTCAAGACAACAAGGGAACAAACAACTATCAACAAGCATTACACTCATTGCTTCACACGAAAACAGTTATGAGAACGAAGGGATCCTGACAGGCAATTGGAAAACATTCCTTTTTATGCTAATTTTATTGTATTTTAGACCAATTTTCCGTTACTTAATATGTGCAGTGTAATGAA